GGTGCCCTCCCCCAGCCCTCCCCACGGCGTGACGGGGCCGTACCGGCCAGGTGGAGCTGGTGCAGGCGGTGGTAAGCCATGGCGGCGTCGCGGGCGCTCTGGCGGACGTGGGCGGGCGGCGGGGGGTCGGGACGTAGCCCCCCGGCACGGGCGGCCAGCCAGCGTCCCACCCAGAGGCGCTGGAGGAGGTGGCGCAGCAGGGTCCAGAGCAGGCTGCAGGCCAGGTCCCCGTGGGAGGCGGGCAGCGGCCGTCCCAGTGCCCCCAGCGCCGTCCGAAGGTGCTGGGCACCCTGGGCAAAGTCCCCCTGCGTGTTCCCCCCAAAAGGGAAAAAGGGTCAGCACGGGTGGTGGGACCAGGGTGGGTGGCGCACAGGTGATGTCACACATGGTGTGGTGATGGGGGGGTATGGGGTGAGGGTGGGGAGGGGGCTTACCCGGTCAAGGTCAAGGTCAGCCTGTCGCCGGTGCCGCCAGAAGAGGACGGAGGGCTCGGAGTGGGGGCGGGTGACGGGCTCCCCGCAGACGAAGAGCCGCACCACCGCCCCCAGCACCAGCGCCACGTTCAGCGCCCAGAAGGCCAGCGTGGGCCACAGCCACTGAGACCACCCCCACGGCTCCTCTGCACGGGGAGGAGGGGGGGGTCAGCACCACCTCTGCCCCCACACCCACCCCAGGGTGTCCCAGCCTGGTGGCCTTCACCCCCTCACCTTCACCAAGAGCCTCCACTCCGGTGGTGACCACCACAAAAGCTTCCACCCAACGGGCCTCTGCCCTGTGTCCACCCCAGCATCCTCCACCCCAGTTGTCTCCGATCTCAGGCTCAACCGAAGACACCCCTCCTGGCGGCCTTCACCCCATGCCCGTCATGACCACCACCACTCTGATGGTTTCCCCTCCAACAGCCCCCATCCCGGCAGCCTTCACCCCATGCCCACCCTGATGGGCTCCACCCCAAGAGCCTCCACCCACATGGCCCCTACCACAGACCCACCCCAACACCCTGCAGCCTGATGGTCTTCACCTCAACAGCCTCTAGCCCATGTCCACCCTGACAGCCTCCATCCCAATGGCTTTTCTCCCATGCCTGCCCCAGCAGTCTCCATCCCAATAGCCTTTACCCCATGCCCGCCCTAACAGCCTCCACCCCAGTGGCCTCCACCCTGTGTCTACCTCCACAACCATGACCCTGACAGCCTCCACCCAACACCTATCCCAACAGCCTCCATCCCAGTGGCCTCCACCCTGTGCCCAACCCCAACAACCACCCCCCTGACGGCCTCCATCCTGACGTCCTCCACCCCAAGAGCCCCAACTCCATGCCAGAACTTACCCACAGTGCCAGATTCCGCCATGATGCTCCTGTGGGGACCAGCGGTGCCTGGGCTCCCCACAGGGGCCGGGGCACCGGAGCCCCGCAGGAGGGAGGCCAGGGGGTTGAAGGAGAGGCAGAGGAAGACAAAGGCGCAGAGGGCCATGCGGGAGCGGTCCAACATGCCCTGGCTGCTGGGCGAGGGCGGGGGGTGCTCCTGCTTCACCTGCATGGGCAGAGCTGCTGTGAGGCCCAGGACAGGGCATGGGGCACGGTGATGGGGCACAGGCATGGGATATAGGGCAGGGGATATAAGGCATGGGGCAGGGTGATGGGGCATGATGAGACACAGGTATGGGAAACAGAGCACAGGCATGGAGTGCAGGGCACAGGCATGAGGCACAGAGCACATTTTGGGGTGCAGAGCATGGGGCACAGGCGCAGCAGCCCACTGCACCCCAGAACATGCCCCCGCACCCCTCTCTCCAGCCCCAAAATGGGTGAGGAGCAGCCTCAGAGAGCAAGATCGGGGCTCCTGGCTCCTATCCCCGTGCCAGCATCTGGCGCACTTTGCTCTTGGCACCCCTATAATGATGTAGCAGATCCTTGCCCCATTCAGGGTCGGGGGGGATCCTCCCCAAAGCCCCCCCACACCTTGCCGTGGTCGCAGAGGGGGCTGTCGGGCTCCGAGTCGCTGCTGCTGTTGCTGCTGCCCCCGCTGAGCGAGAGCGGGCTGCTGTGGGATGGTGAGCCCACATCCGAGGGCGGCGGCGTCAGCATCTCCATCACCTCCGCCTTCACCACCTCCATGGGGGCCTCCGTCTTGGCCCCCCCGCTGCAGGAGGCCACCAGGTCCTTCAGGGACTCTGTGGGGAGAAAAGCAGGCTGAGGGATGCTGAGGGGGTACGGCAGCCCCGGGGCTGAGCCCCCCCCTTGAGACCTGCCCTTCCACTCACGGTTCTTCTGCATGGCCATCTTCAGGGTGAGGTTCTCCTGCTTCAGCTTCTGGTTGCTCTGCTGCAGGAAGCGGATGTACTCGATGGCCTTCCTCAGGATCGCCGACTTGTTGAGCTGCCGGTGGGCAGGGACGGCTCAGACCAAATGCCAGGTGAAGCCCCCTCCTTGCCCACCCCATCCCCACCGCCCCCAGGCTCCCACCTTGGCCTCGGTGCCCACCACCAGGTCCTTGAGCTCCACGATCTTGTCGTTGATGGAGGAGCGGTAGCGTTTCTCGATGGCGTTGTGCGCCGTGCGCTTCTCCCCCCTGTTCTGCACCAGCGCCGGCTTCCCGCTGGGTGCCAGCCGGTTGATGGGCAGCTTCTCGGCATCCACCACCAGTGGCACCGTGGCCAGGATGGTCCCTCCGCTCACCAGAGCCTGCAGGGACGTGGGATGGTGTCAGTGGGGGTCCCCGAGCATCCCCCCACCCCGGAGCTCCCCGGTGGTGGGACCTACCGGCACCTGCAGCGGGGTGGCAGAGCCACTGGCGCTGGTGGCCAGGGAGGCGATGCTGGAGGTCTTGGCACTGCCAGCATCCGTCTTGACGGCCGTCAGCAGCAGGGAGTCAGCCTTGATGAAATGGGGCTGCAGCAGGACCTGGAGGGCAGGGAGGGGGGTGTCAGAGGGCTGGGGAAAGCCGGGGGGGGGCACCGGGACACCCTTCCCCTGGCCCTGGGCTTACCGGCACCTGCTGGATCTGGGGTGAGACGGGCTGGCTGGTGGGGGCGGCGGGGGCCAGGAGCTGCTGGGGTGCCACGCTCTGCACGGGGCCGGGCAGTGTCACGGGCTGGCCGGGCTGTGGGGTGGGCAGGGGGCTGGGCACGGCCTGCCCCGCACCCCCGGGCTGCACAGCTGGGCATGGAGCAGAGGACAGCGTTACCAGACCCCCCCAGTACCATCCCTCCCCAGACAGCCCCATCCCACAGGGATGCATCCCCCATTCCAGCAAGAGCCCCATGCAACAAGCCACCCCCACCCACCCAGGGAGCCCCGACCACCCCAAATCCTCACCGGAGAAGCTGTGCTGGTTCTGGTAGCCCACCAAGGGCTGGGGGCTGAACTGGGGGCCGGGGGACGCGGGGACGAAGCTGGGGGTGAGCATCACACCGGGCTGGGGCTGGCTGCTGGGCACCGCCGGCAGCTCCTCCTTGACACCCGGGGCCGGTGGCAGAAGTGGGGCTGGGGGCTGAGGGGTGAAGGTTGCCATCCCGGGAGGTCCTGGGTAGTTGGTGCCATTAGGGGCGGCGGGGGGGGCCTTGCTGGGTCCCGGGTAGGTGCCGAGGGTGCCCGGTGCCGGGGGGAGCCCCGGGGGCACGGTGTTGTCGGGGGCACCGAACGGCGAGTCAAACAGCCCCGAGAAGTCATTGTCCGGCGTGTTGATCAGCTGCAGCATGTCTGCAAAACAGCCCCCCCCGCCCCACGCCGTGCCATCAGCCACTGCCCTGGCCCCACACACCTCCCAAGGGGGCCCCCAGGCTGGCCCCACACCGCCCACCCCACAGCTCAGCGCTTTGGGGACGGATCTCCACAACCCAGAGGGAAAATGTCCCAAGATCCCGGGAATCTGCTGCGCCCCTGCTCCTGGCAGCCTCCCAGTCCCCCTGCCAGCGGGGAAACTGAGGGCGCCGCAGGCCAGGGGGGGGGGGGGGGGTAATGGGGCCCTGCCACCATCATTCTGAGGTTTCCAGCCCGGTTTGGGGGTGACAGGGCAGATCTCAGCCTGTTTTTAAGGCGCAGCAGGGCAGAGATGGGCTTGTGCCACCTCCTCCATTTCTCCTCTACCAAAAACCCTGACAAACCCCCAAAGCACTCCCCGTATCACGGGGAGGGGGTGCTCAGGCTGCGACAGAGGGGTGGCACAGCTGGCATGTCCCAACCCCCCCTTTGCCAGGCGAAAACCCCCCCCTCCAGGGAGGGACCTGTGTGCCCAGGGATGTCCCAGTGCCGGGCAGGGAGGAGGCAGGGGGGATATTTTAAAGCCATGTTCTCGCCTCCCCCCCGC